TGATGCAGTGTAGATTGGTGCCTTCTAGATAGATGGTGTCGATGAACCCATGAATAAAATAATCCCATAAAGTCATAGGATCTGATAAGTCGGCTAAGAAAACTGCTTTAGGACCTGGTCGTCTGGCTACTGGGTAAAAGCCCATCAGAGAATGGACTTCAGTGTATGAGATTAGGCTGTCCCATAATTCGGCAAATTTTTTGGCAGATGGTTTTTTTATGGCTTCTTTTTCTTTGGTTGATAGAATGGATTCAAGGGCAATTTTTCCATTTAATTGGTTAAGGGATCTTGGGATGGATACAGGTTTTTGTGGTGTGAAGCTGGTCATAGGTTTTTGTGGTGTTAGGAGAACTGTTTTTGAACATTCTACGTTATCTTTTATTACTGCTTTGTATGCTTCGTTGTATGCGGCTTCTGCTTCATTTTTTGTTTTGTAACTTTTGTGAATAATATTTCTTCCAAGAATATATGAACTGGCAATTCCCCAATTGTCATATACTCCTTTGTTTTCTCCGTTGAAAATTACGTACCATTTCTTTATATTTTGATCTGCTTGAAGTGGTGGATATTCTTCTGGATTTTGTATTATAGGTTGTTTTTCTGACTTGAGCATTGTTTGTGGCTGACTATCATCGGATGAAATTTCTTGAATGTCTTCTTTTGGTTGCTTCGTTGTTGAACTGCTAGCTGCTTCTTCTTTAGGTACTGCTTGGGATGATAGAATTTGTATTGTTTGTCGTAGTTGTTCTTTTTCTCGTCTGACTGCTTCGAGTTGTCTGACTAATGATGCTTCTTGATCTTCTTTCTGTTTGAACTGGTGTTTGATTTGTTTCATGATTGCTTCCATTTCGATATATTTGTGGACTGAATGTTTGCGTTTCTTTAGTACCTGAATAATTGCTGAAATTTGTTTGTTTCGAATGATGATATGAAAATTTTCATATCAATGTATGCTTTTGGTGATATATTCATATCACTGTATGCTTTTGGTGATATATTCATATCACTGTATGCTTTTGGTGATATATTCATATCACTGTATACTTTATTATTGTTTACTTCAGATGGTACTTTCATACCATTGTATGCTTTAGCAATGTATATTCCAGATAGATTAGATATGAGGTTTCCCTCAAGTTCTAATTCTAGTAATACTTTTTCCATAGGATTATGTACCTGCATCTGAATCAGAATCAGTTGTATATGCATAAATATCTATATCTGAATTTATATCTGAATCTTCTATGGGTTCGTATCCAAGGTCGTATGCAATTTTTAATATATTTGTTTCTTTTTCTTTTTTAGTCTTTTTCGGGCATTCATAAGCTTTGTGTCCTTCTTCTTGACATATCCAACATTTACAGTCTTTTTTATTTGATGGGCAATAATTTGTTTTGGATTGATATTTTTGTTTATATTGTTTTTTATTTCGGAAATATTTTCTTTCCCCTTGTTTATAATATTCTTTATATTTGGGTTTATAAGTTTGTTTTTTCCAAATTTTCTTTTTACTTTGTTGTTTTTCTTTACAACCATATTGATTTACTTTGTTAGAAAGGATGTCACAACATAAATCTATTTTTGCATCTTGTGCTGTTTTTTGTTCTAAACATTTTTTCTGCATCCATGCTTTTAATATGCTTATTCGTGCTCCTAAGGTGTCTGCAACTTTATTTTGTTGTAATGCTTCTTGGAAATCTTTTATTACACTTTGGCTTACTAATGATGGTAATTTTTGATAGAACATATCTAATGCTGCCTTTTTTCTAATGGAGTCTAAATTATAATAATGTTCAGAATAGTCACATATAAATGGTTATAAATAACACATATTACAAATTCGTAAATTAGTTAAATGCCATAGTGATTCTAATTGAAAAGCTTCTTTTGATATTTTATCTTCAATTTGTTTTCCTATGAATTCCTGAATAAGACGGCTATTTTTAAATGTTTCCATAGCATCAGTGGTGGCTATCATCATTGTTTCGGTTTCATCAAGAGATGAAAGGAAACGATATGCGTTACCTTGTGTTTTATGAATGATATAATTAAGAAAATGTTTTGGGTGTAAATTTCTTAATTCTTCGGTTAACTGAATTTGTACTCCTATTTTATTACTCCATTCTTGAATTTTTGCTTCAGGATTTTGGTCACAATCAATAAAAAGAATATCTGAATTTGTTGGAAATGTAAATAATTTAGGTATGTATTGAGGAGGTATTTTTTCCCATTTGTTTTGTTCATTTTTAACCATTCCTTGTCTATATAAAAAATTTTCTTCTAATGAAGGTGGTCCATAAATATATTGACTTTGATAATCATCTTCAACATATGATTGTTTTCGTTTTAATCCAAAATTGTTTTGTGAATCTCTATATGGATTTGAATAAGGGTTTTCATCATCTGAAGAAAAATCATATATTACTTCTGCGTCATTATCATCTGAATTATTTTCTATTTCTATATTATTTTCTTGAGTTTCAGATGGAATTTCTAGTGCTGCAAATAATTTAGTTAGTGTTTCTACTTTTTCTTGTAAAGTTTCCATATATTGTGTGTATTAAAAATAAAAGTTTTAGTTTCTTTTTTCTAGTGAAGTAGTTGTTTTTTCTATCATATTTAACAAATTAATTTTGTTATTTTATCTTCAAGGTTTTTTATTTGTTCTTGTTTCCAATTTATACTATTATTTATTATATGTATTGCTTCAATATTAGATATACAATTTATCATTGATATGTCAGAATCTATTTTTAAGTCAAAAAGAAATTTTTTAGATTGTTTCAATGTTTTACGAAAAAATTTTAATTCTTGTTTATTTGTATCTAGGCTTGAAAAACTCATGATTATAATTTTATAATAATAATGGTTTAGTTTCGTAGTATTGGTAATTATAATAATGTTTAAAAGACATACGTTTTAAAATACAAATAGTTTTGTTTTTAGATGACGTATTGGGGGGGGGGGGGTTGTCAATGTGATTACATTGACAAAAGTACAATTGTAAATAAATTTCATAACACGCCCTTAATCTTGTTGTCAAAAAGTATTTGAACATGCAAATATGTTGATGAAAATAACAATATGTTGATGACAAATTGTACTTTTTTTGCTATTTTTATCCCTTTTAACTTGTATGTGTTCTCAAATGTAAATATATTGTTGAAAATGTTTAATATTTTGTTGAAAATGATGCGGAAAAGGGTAATATGATGCTGTTAAAATGCTTTTTTTTATTTTATTATTATTATTTTTCATTTGAAGCCGTATGTATAATGTATAGGTTTTTTTATCCATAAAGGTAAAACATAAAATAAGTTAAATAATATATCAAGTTTTCAATTAACAGTTATTGTGATGTTTATTCTAATTTGTCTATTGCCAAACTACTAAATCTAAAACTCATTTTAAATTAATATATTTATTTAATACACTAATGAAAGGTTTTTTTACATGTTTGGCAACTGTGGGTAATTTAATGTTAGTTGTGATCATGGAGAATTAGACGCATATAAGATTGGGTCACATACAAGTTACCAATAAAAAATAAATAAATTAGTGACTAACTTTCGATGAACAAGAAGCAAGAAACAAGAAAATTTTGAGGTTGCGAAAAACAAAAATTTCTGAATTTAAGGTATGGCCATATAAATCTTACCAAATAATTATGGATTTATTAATTTGGTTTTAATAAAAAATGAATATTTTTATAAAAATCAATAACATAAATTTATTTTTAATACAATACAACACTTTCTTTTTCAACAAAAAAACATCAACACACTTAAATTTTTAATCGAAAACATCAACATACTTTTAAAAGGGACATTTCCAAACATCAAACAAACACGGAAAGAAAACCGATTCGTCGAAAAGTTACTTGTGTTCAAATATAATATTTTTCCTAATGAAAGTAATTGGTACAAGGATTCCATTATGTCCGTCTAAAGATGATATGTCTCATTCAAGAAGCAAACAACGAGAGAAAGTCAATTCGTCGACAAGTTACTTGTGTTGAAATATAACATGTTTCCTGATGTAAATAATTGCACAAGGATTCCATTATGTTCGAAGATGACATGCCCCAATTAACCTCAAGAAAAACAATTTTCAATTTGATTATGTTTTGCGATAACAATCAATGAAGATCACAGATAAACAATTCCAAGTGTACGTATTTATCATTTCAGAATCGGTTTTCTTGCATGGCCAGCTTTATGTGGTATTATCCAGAAGGATATCATGTATCAATACAAAAATTATTAGTGAAGTTGATGAACGATTCAACAGCAGTGAAGTCTATACATCAAATGTGGCGGATAAAAAACTGTTGCACAATTAATAATGCACGATCAACCATGTCTTCATGTACATTTGTAAAGAATATCAAGATTTCATTTTTATTTCTTATTTATTTCTTTTTTACTAGCACGACTCTTATTTATAATTGATTAGATTTACTAAACTATTTGGGCAAAAGAACTATTCGTCTATAGAAACTAACTTCTCGAAAAATTATTCACACTCGTCGCTTAGTGCGGGTAAACGGCTAGTATATATATATATATATATATATATATATATATATATATATATATATATTAGCCATTTACCAACGCAAAGCGGCGAGCGTAGAATACTTTTTTTTTCGGCAATTAGTTTTTATTGGGGGACGAAAAACAAGAATCTAGGGAACCACAGGGACTATTTATATAATTTTGTCTAAAACTTATTGTGATTTTCAATAACAACTTTGTGTACTTCTAATCATCAGATTATAATAATTAAAAAAAGACAAAATCAATACAACATACATATGATTAATAATTATTATATATTCTTATATACATTAAAGATGACCAACTCATTGAATAGTGAACTTCTTGATTGTTTGGCAAAAATGGCCTATAGGTTTTCATATTTTGAGTTGTTCAGATTTTTGGCACTAAAGTTTGTGGTATTGGGAATTTGGTCCCTGTAAAGATAATGATGGGACTGATATGTGTCATTCCCGCGTCTCTCCCCACCGGTTATGCCTTATCTTCCCCCCACCCGCTTTCTCATCCACTCATATTCGGATTTCACCAAGCTACAGACGGGACGGCGCAGATGACCATCGACCGGGCTCCGATTTAGGTTCTCACGACGGGACTGGGACCGGATACGTTCCGTTGAGCTCTTCAAAACCTCGAATTTCTTTGATGCTTCCACAGTCGGTATGTGAATTCGACACTTCCACCATCGGTGTATGAAATCGACGCATCCTAAAGGTTGAAGTGGTCACGATGCAGATGGCCATCGACCGGGCTGCGATTTAGGTTCTGACGATGGGACTGACTCCTGATTTGTGCCACCGACAGCAACCCAGCAGTCACCGCCAACTGGAGCTTCTATCCCCTTTTCGCCTGCTTCTCAAACGCCGCCACCGGACGCTTTCCTCATCGAAACGCCGCCGATGGCACCCTTCTATCCCAATTCGGAACCCTATTCAGACCTTTTCGTCACTTACTCCTCTCAAAAAGGTAATTTTGTAATGTCGACAATTTCATTCTTTTGGGTTTTAGAATGAACTTTTATTTTTCTTGACTATGGCAGACGCATCATCCAGACCAGGTGCGCTTTCCTTGTGTAAGAACTGCTTTCGGTGGTATAAATGCATCTGCTGTTCAAATAGGTACGACCATCAGGTAGCCAGCAGCCCTGTGTCGCTGTGTCGGTATTGTTCAGCCCTAATTTCTTCAACTCTTTCGTTCTGCTGGACAAGCTTTTGACAGGTAAGTTGTAAACCCTAACTATAAATTCTGAAATTACTTGCGTTTTGATGTCTGCCTGTGGAAATTTGGGTTCCTGCACATCAAATTACCTCATACATACATGTTATGTCATCAGCATAAACATTCATATGCATATTTGTTGATTCTAGAATCAAATATGTTATCTGCACTTTGTAATTTCTGATGAATTATAGATTAGTGACTTCCATTCCTTTTATTAGGCTCAATCCAGGAAGATTGGAAGTTCTTGGGATGTTCACGTTAGCATGTGCTGCTTACAGGCAGATTGGAAGTTCCTAGGACATCATTTTCGTATATTATAAAATTTTTTTATCACCAAAAGGCTAATACTTGGTTTTTATTTATAAAAATGTTTAATGCAGGAACATCTGAAAAAAGGCTATTTCTATTGACGAAATGGTAGTTATAGATATTAAAACCAAGTTAGTCTCTTTCTATTTCCCTACATACTTTTATTTTTTAATAAAAAAATAATGATTTTAACAGTTTTTGTTAAAAATGCCCCTGCATATGGTCATAAACAGATGTAGAGATCAAGACGGTGAACCACGAATACAGGACAAGTAATTTATGTTAACAGATTGTAAGCAACTCATGACTCTGGAATTGGTATGTTTCTCAATTTTTTTATTCATTTTATAGGGTTTAGACTCCAATTAACCATTCAGAACAAACGGGAATTCAGTTTACATTGCAGGTTCCTATTGGTTGATTGGTCACTGATTCGCAATACAGATTTTCAAATTTCTTTCTTGATTCATGCAGGTTTCATGCTATCTTTGTTTGACATTACAGGACCAGAGAAGGAGTTTTACTCATTATATGGTCGTTGTTTTGAGATTACAAAATTACAAAATTGTCCCTTTCAACATATCATATTTTCTCAACATGTGAGATTAATTGCCCCCTCCTCCCCCCCCCCCCCCAAATTTATTTATTTTATTATTTTTATTGTGAATTGTGAATAAAAAATTTAATTGCAGATACTCGGCGTTATTAACTACTCCATCCCTTTGCCAAGAAGGAAGACTCAAGGTACACATGTCTTTCATCATTTTGTCTGTGAAAAGACAAAAATGCCCTTCTCATTGTAAAAGAATAACCTGAGAAAGATTGTATGGAATGTTTCAGGAGCTACAAGATAAACTAGAAGCAGTGAAAATGGAACAACCACAAGGTCACGATGAGCTTTAAGTATTTTTCATACTATTTATTGTGGAAAAATCAAAAAAAAAATGACCGATTTGTCCTTTTATTCCATATTTGGGATGAACTTGCTGAATAGGATCAATACAACACTTCCATGAGATATATGGAGTGAGGCTTATAAGAATATAATTGCTTTTTTCGAGGGGACTAGAATTGGTAAAAATCTAGAGCATTGATGCTATAGTAAGTTGTACCTCATGCATTGGAAGTTGAACCTTTCCATGAATTGTATTAGATAATCTTGAGAGGTAGATACAGATGTGTTGGGGGACTGTGAATCTATTTTTTTGCAAAAAAAAATGCTCTTTAAAATGGTGAATTACATAATTTTCTGTTGTTGTTCTTAATTTTTTGATGCAAGAAATATCAATATACTTATATTTTTTATTTTTCTATTATAGCATTTTACTTTCATATCTCCATATTACAACATTGTATATTAGAAAAACTATTTGTTTATGGGAATGTCATCCTTATACTAATCAATTTTTGTTGCCATGATTGAGTAGATTTTCAAACTACAATGTGCTAACAAGATTTGTTTTGTAAGTATTTTTTAAAAAACATTTACTCAATAAGAAAGAAATTAAAAGGTATAATGTTGTAATAGAAAGAAATGAAAGTTGGATGTTATAATAAATAAATAAATGAAATGGGCCATGTGTAATGTGAAATGGTAAAAAAGATATCGTTTTGCCATTTTTTGTAGTGGGGCTTGTGTGATGGGTAGGCACTTGGAAACATATGAAATGGGCCATGTGTAATGAGCCCGTACGAAATGTTTGGCCTATGTGAAATGGATTGCTTGCGAAATCATCAAACAAAGTTTTCTCTAACCTAACTCGTGTATTTATGTATTACCACTTAATATTGATATTAACTAGGTGGGGAACCCCCGCATGACTAAACTACCCCTATGTAAAATTATTTTGTTCATATTTCAATTTTGCTGAACGACCTGTTGCATCCGACCCCGCAACGCGGGGGTTCCCCATCTAGTATATATATTAAAGATGACCATCTTTATGAATAGTGAGCTTATGTATTTTTTGGCAAGAATAGCCCATGGATGTGTTGTTTCCGTTTTTTTTTTTACCTGGACATTTTATGAAAATATTTACATTCTTTCCTACAGGTGTTATCATCGTTTGGGTTTATCCGCTTCTGGATCCTTCCCAGCGTCCTTATCCAATATCTTCCCATTCCAGCTTCATCCTCTTATGTGGTTTGCATTTGTTGTAGCGCCACTGTGAAATGAAGACAAATTATTGGTCAAGATGGGATTAGAGCGACGATAAAGATGATCGTCGATCAGCTTCCGATTTAGGTTTCGTCGGCTTGACTGCGACAAGCAAAGCGTTCGTCGGCTTGGCTGCGACAAGCAAAGCGGCTCAGCAGCCCCGGCCAGAACCATTAGACCCGGACTTACAACGAATTATCGAAGGTGTTTTGATGTCGATTTCGTCATAAGGTGGTCTGATGCCGACGGTTTTAAAATCGATTTCATTCTAAGGTGTCTTCATTTATCCGCCGGAACGAACAGGTAAATCCCACCGACCTCACTGCATCATCTTTTCGTTTGTAGACCCCTCATACTTCAGATGGTTCGTCATGTTACTGTTCTTTATTTTTGGTGGCCATATGAACTTAATTTGTATTTAGGGTTTATGCGTTAATTTTTCTACGCCTTTTTAGTACCGGTGCAGTTCTTGAGGATCGATGGTACCACCAAAGCCAGTGACAGATTAAAGATTGTTGATGTTAGTGACTTTTTTTATTTTATTTTATTCAGTTTGAAAAAGATACGACTTTTATGATGCAGATATACAAAGGGGGTTTATTCAGAAGTGCTACTGAACACAAAGAGCAAATTCGGTATTTCAGTCAACAAGTGAGTATTTTCTTATTATTTTTTTTCTATTAATAAATTATGGAAAATGATATATATATATATATATATATATATATATATATATATATATTATATATATATATTTATTTGTGTTTTGTTATTTCAGGATCTTAGGGAGCTTTTCAGTATCCCAAAACAGGGTTTTGATGTTTCTTTAACTCAACAACAGTTGCATGAAGAGCATGATTGTGAAGACAAAATGGTTGTACTATGTAATTCATTCAAAATAAGGTTTTTTTTCAATGTGATTTGAATTATTAAATTTCTTCAAAACAATTTCTTTTGTTATAGGGATGCATCTCTTAAATATCACACAAAGTTTTTTGAGTCTCTTGGTATAGCTGGAATTAGTAACCACAGTTTGCTTTTCTCAAAAACTGCTCCATTCCCTGTTGTGCAAGATGAAGAACTAACAAGGTGATATATCTATCTTTTTACCCTTCAAGGGCATTTTAGTAAATTCACATTTTTGATTTTTTGTTTAAGTTCTCTGAATTGTTTTTTGGATTAGGCAATCAACTTATGTGGGAAACTCATCTTCTTACAACTCACGTGAACCAAACATGGATGCGAATCTCTTCTTAAAATCTCAATCTTCTTTTTACCTTAAAAAGATCTATTTTATTTTATATTTCATTTATAGGGGAGCTCAATTTGCTATCAATCCAAAGGATGTTGTCATTCTATATTTGTTTTCCAAAAAGTTTTTTTTTATTTGTTGGATTAAATTTCATTGCGGTTTTTTTTTAATTCATTTCAGTTTGTTTTTTGGGCCCATTTTATGACGTATTTGCTGTTATTGATTGTTTCAGGTTAAAAAGAACACAGAAGACCTAACACATCAACATGTAGATGCTTGGTCAAAGGCCAGGTGTAAAAAGTGTCATAGTTAATGATTTTAAATTTTATATTATGAACTTTAATGGTGTTTTTTTGAATTTTGATTTGTTTTCAAGTTTGATGGTGTTGCAGCTGAGCCTAGATAGGGAATAAGAAGTGGCCATGTACCTGGGAACAACTGCATTCCTTTTGCTCAGGTAACCATAAATTGTCTGTAAATGAGAGTATATACCTGATGTATGTGATGTTTTCTTTTTATTTGTTAAAATTAGATTGATTATAAATTATACTTATTTTGTATTAATATTGATGATCTATTTGCCATTGTGTAATTATGTTTGTAGCAAAACTGTAAAACAAAGTTGGCATGAAACCAACCTTGCTTTGGAAATTTTGGTCCATGAATCGTTAATCAAATCTACTCGGCTGTTAATAGCTTTAAATTGACCATTTTTCCAAGTGACACACTATATCTTCGGGTTTTGTCCCAAGGGCAGAATTAAGGGCAGAATGGTCTTTTAGGGATTAAGGGACCAAAATCATTATGAAACATTAAAAAAAACGAAAAAACTACTACTATAGCTCTTTTTTTTTTTTTTTTTTTTTTTTGCAAATTTCGTCTCTAAAGGTTTTCTTTTGCAATTTTGGTCTTTATTTTCTTTTGCAGTTTTCGTTCCATTTTTTTTTCATTTCTGGTCCTTAAAAATTTTTCTTTGCATTTTTGGTCCCAAAAGTTTGTCTTTTGAAATTCTGGTCCTCATTTGAAGTTTTTGTAAGTTCTTTTTTTTGTTCACCTCCGTCGCATGTCGCCTACACCACCAAAGCTACGTCTGTTTGTTTTTTATGCGGTGGTGTCTCCGATGCCGGTGATAGCGGTGTCTGGGAATCCGGGATTTTTTTTCCTGACGGATTCTTTATCCACTCAAATCAGGTAGTTTCAGATCAATCGGTTTTAGATCAGCCTCATCGGGTGTATTAACAAAGTTTTGGAATCGATTGCTACAGATTGGAGGACATCAACAGGAAACCACACCTACGTTTGCCTTCTCCGTTGAATTCTGCTTTGCCGGCGCAATTGGTTTGCTAGATTCAAAGACCAGTACGTTCCTAACACTCTTCTATTCTTTGTAAACACTATTTCCTTCGTATGGTAATTATCTGTAGCATACTGTTTTCACACCTATATATTTTATATGTTACATACTGTTTTTATAGTTACAGAACTATTTACCAAAATGTATTTGAAAACTGCCCCTACATACTATTTTTATAGTTACAAATTTTTTATTCTAAGATTTTTGGACCAAACTGCCCCTGCATACTGTTTTTATAGTTAAAAATTTTGATTTTAAGATTTTTGGACCAAACTGCCCATGCATATTGTTTTTAAACTTAAAAAAGTTGTTTTTAACAGTTTTAGACCAAAGTGCCCGTGCATACTAATTTTATAGGTTTTTTTTTTTATTTTAACAGTTTTGGACGAAACTGCCCTTGCATAATGTTTTTATACTTAAAAAAATTTGAATTTAACAATTTTGGATGACACAGCTCTTGCATACCGTTTTTATAGTTAATCTTTTTTTGATTTTAACGGTTTTGAACTCAAAATTTGTGTTGAATAGTTTGAGTAGAGTATATTTGAGATATTGATAATTACGTTTGCATTGTTTTATATTATTTTAAATTGGTATATAATAATAAGCTAAATTCATTGTGATATTATGATAATAATCGCTAATCATCTCTGAATTATTGAATTATACAGGTGATAGAAGTTCAGTTTCATTTTTTTACGGCGAGTAGGATGCTAATAATTTTCTTTGTGTTTTTCTAAATCAAATTTGAAAGTACATTCTATGTTCTGCGGACGTAATGAGATTTTTGTTATGCTAAAAAAGTTTGCTCCTAATTAATTCTTCTTTACTATAGGTACTATAAAACTAATAAGAATCATATCACAGTAAAGTGGATACTTTGATTTGCATATTGTGGAAACATGTACTAGGTATAAAATGAATGATTGCTAGAAACATGTACCAGGTATAAAATCATGTGTTTAAGTGAATTACAAATTAAAAACTTTAGTTGGATCATTTAAAATGTTTGAAACTTGGTAATCTCTTCCTGATTAACCATATGAGAAATTTGATTTACTTGATTACCTCATACCTCTCCATAGTGATATCAAATACCACTATGTGTGATAAAGGAGAATATTTAGAATTTTATAAAAAACAGGAAAAAAACTCTAATATAGTGTAAAATCGAATCCAATTTTTTTTTTTTTGGGTTAAAATTGACTAATTTTATTAGCAAAAAAAATACGTATAGTTTTTGTTATCGTTAACAGTTTTGTGACTAAACTACCCCTATGTAAAGTTATTTTGTTCATATTTCAATTTTGCTGAAAGACCTGTCGCATCCGACCCCCGCAACGCGGGGGTTCCCCACCTAGTTGTTGATTGTACAATATTAATCGCGCAACAATTCTTTATACATCGCATTAGAGGTATAGACTTCGTCGTCGTTGCCTCTTATTGATGTTAAGTGTATCCTATTTTTATCGATACGTAAACCAACAAATAAAAGTAAGGTTAAATATAAATAAGCAACCAAAAAATAACTATATGTTCCCTTTCAAACCAAAAGATTTGTTGGAAATACTAACTTTCCTCTTTTTTTGTCCCTTTTCTTTTTCTAACTTATCTTTCCCCTTTTTCTGTGAGTACAGTTGTGTAGATAACCTTAAAACTACACATAAAAACCACATCAATATATAAAAGAAAAAAAGGAAAATTGAAATTGAAATCTAAAGTCAACATGCAACTAATGGGAATTTACATCATAAGTCCAATGGGGTTACCAAAGTTTCTCAATGATTTGAAGTAATGGTACCAAATTCGTTCATCATACAATTCAAACTTTCAAAAAGTTTGCAGTTTGGATTTACCAAGTTATCTTTTGATTGTAAACTCGATAAATAAGGATGAAAAAAGGTATAAGGGCACATGTTCACAAAGAACATCATGTACTCAATAGATTATATTTTTTTTTTGTGAAAAATCAACCAAAACCAAACTCTAAAGGAAGAAATCTACCAATTTATTTTCCCAACTTCTAGTGCACTACAATTGTTGGTGGAGTCGATTTTGGCTCTCATCACATTGCTGAAAGTAAAAGTAAAAAACGTTAGTTGTCAACATAATTGTCATCATCTACTTCACCTGTTGAAATATCAACCCTAGGGAAAATAGGTAAATATAACAATTACAAAAAATATTATTAGAACAAACACAAATGCTAAAAAAAAGTTGATAAGCTAAATGTTTGTAGCTAATAAGACATAGAAGTTGTTTCTTTTTGACAAAAATGGCCTTATTAGGTACATTTGGGTTCCACAGAAGAAATGGCATCCTATGAAAGTAAGTTGTTAGTTCATGTTGTAAACCTTTATGTTTCCCTCTATTTTACCCAAATGTGTCATCATTTTCTCAAATACTTTTAAAAAATCATTGAAATAGACAATTACTAAACCGACCAAAGATTACAAAAAAATCCCGTAAAATAGACAATTACTAAACCGACCAAAGATTACAAAAAAATCCTTTAAAATATATGTAGTATGTACTTACTGCTTCATAAATGTCGATGTTTTCTCGCCCCTGTCACCCTGGCAATCCTTTTTTTTAAACTTGTTGCTATGGATTCGCCTTTTTCATGTGATACCACCTATATTTTTTGCAAAGTATCTAGTGCCTACAATAAGGGTACATAATACATAAGTACCATTGAATCTGACCCTATTAAGCTCGAAAAGGTAACATGACATTGCTCTTATAAAATACTACCAAATAGATCAACAAGGGGAATTATCAATTTTAGATTCACCAAATTTCAGAAAGATCAAAAATGATAATTATCAAATTTAGATTTACCAAATATCAGACCGATCAATAAACATTTCTAAATGGCATATCAAGACAGTGAAAAAGAACATAAGGTTTGTAAACCAAGAAACATTAGAGAGAGAGAGAGAGAGAGAGTTTCTATCACTAGTTAACTTGTGAAGGGATGATCACCTAAAGGTGAGAGGTAAATAAAACCACCATCATGATGCAACTTCTCTACAAGGAGCATGTCCCCTTACGCCAATATTCAAATCAAATAGATTCACCACTGTTCTTAAACATCTTGACATAGGTTTCTCATTTCAAAGAAATTGCTTCAATCATACTAAATTGCTTCCTTAATCATACAGACAGTTATGTGAACAAAGTGATAGTCTACAAAATACTAAACTACAAAACATGGCCGAAGTACCACAATTGAGTAAAGCTAATGCAAATATATTCACAGAAAGAAATATTATGGAATCACCCTTTTAAAAGTAGGGTGGTAATCAGAACTCCGCCCTCACTGCCAGCAAATTCGCAAATTCACCAACACGCCCTCTAGGTCGATCATATTATTCACCCCTATCATAAAATCTCAACATCTCCTTCAAACCTTGGTCACCACTTCAATCATAAACACAACCAATATGAAAAAAGTTAGATTATTCCCTCTAAATAAACTCACAAATAAACATAGAGACATCCTTATTTTACACTACAAAAACTAAACATGATAATATTCTTGTTATTTTGAACACAATTTCAACAATATTCGATTAACCTGATGACAAAAATGCAAAGCAAAAAAGATCTAGATAGGGGGGAGGGGTGTAACAGTAGCAGCGATAATGGGTTTCTTAGAAGACATAGAAAGAAGAGGTAAAGGATTAAATCTATAACCTGAAACCGATTAGGAGAAAGAGATTATAGGCTGGGAATTTTTTTGAACCTCACTTTTTTAAACCCAACGGTGACTCAACTTCCGAGGCAAGCAAAGGAGAAAGCGGAGTAGGAATCGTTGATTTGCGTAATCAAAAAACATCGATTCATGATTTCTTTTGGTTTCTTGTAATCGAAATCGTCGCCGCCTTGTAATCAGAATCATCATCATCTGAGTTTAGGGTTTTAGATGGAACTCGGTGTACGCTATTCAGTTGTAACCGAACTTAGATGGTGGAAAATGGAGGCGATGACTCTTTTGGAAGATGTATGATTTTGTGATGGTGGTGTGTTTTTGCGTTAGTGGAGACAACGGGGGTGATTTCTTGGTGTATTCGTAGACAGAGAGAGATAGAGATGGTGAATGGTGGCGGTGGATGGAATTGGCGCAAGGGAGGAGATGGTTTTGCGGGTTTTAATGGTGGCTGATGGAGGTGATTAAGGTGATGGCAGGAGGTGACATTAAACAAAGAAGGTGGGTATCAAGGGTTTGGCTGAAGAATAACGAGGGAATGGTGAGAGCGTAGGGTTTTGTGAAAGGAACATGGTCTTAAGAAGTGAGAGGGGACTGAGGACCCATTTAGATTTATGTTTTAAGGGGGATTAATTCAAACTTCTCAAAAAAGCGGGGGAAGATGCCGATACGAGGGGCGTGAGAAGTTTACCACAAAGGACTCCTTGTTTATAGGGATTAAATGAGGCTGATTCAAAACCCGCTAGAGATGAGAATAAATATAAGATTTGTTTAGTGGTGGAGTATGAAATTTATTATGTATTAGATACTTCTATCTCTTGTATTATTACTTGGACGATTTTAATAAAATATATATTATTTTATTGATGGTTACTTGTATTATTAGCTTACTGGTTTGAACGTCTTAAAAAATTATATTATTATATTCAATCTATTTTTAGAAATAGTAAGATTTCCTTTATAATATATATAATATATATATATATATAATATATATATATATATATATATATAATATACACACACATTATTATAATCCGCGTTAAATGGATTAAAAAACATAGAAACGTCTATAGATATTGCATTATAATTTAAAAAGAAAATTTATGAGAAATAAATGAAAACAAACATAAACTTCAAAAACAAAACAAATTACTTTTCAAACAAATCCATAAGCAAATAATAAAAACTAATAAAAAAGTCTTCAAACTAAAATGTCAAATAATGACGCATGGCTTAAACTTATTCGATCTTTTCCATTTTTGGGATCTTCAGGCAAGGAGCAGTAACACCATCTTTCAAAGAAGACCATTTAAATGATTCGGTGGTGGTAACAATCTCAATAGGCTACTTGACTGAAGTAGTTGTTGGCGGTAACAATCTCAAATGATTTGGTGGTGGTAAGATAGTACGTTTGATTTTATCCTCAATAATCATCTGAGTCCAATGATGAGGATTGTATAACAAAAAAACAATAAGCGAAAAGAGCATCCTATATGTAGAAATAAATTCTAAATGTAGAAATAAATTTGTATGTTACCTATTTGATGTTAATTTTTTTCCAATTGAGCAATGATTGTATTATTATCATTGAACTTTGAGATTTCATAACCATCAACTTTGTTCTTCAAATTATCTATTGAAATTTGAATTTTGAACGCCAACTTTTTATCCAAAAGTGCATTCAAAGCAAATGAATAAATCTCCATATTACTCTCCTAAAAAAATGAACGGTTATAAAATTAGGTAAACAAAAAGTTAAAATTAGTTTTATGAAAATGAAGTTAATATCGATAACCTCACTAAAATTTTGAAACAACTCTTGTGCAGTTTCTTCAAGAAGTATCTTTGCGTCACGATCAAATAATGTAAGTGACACCAAACCGGTAAAGTCGTGTACTATAATTGTGATTTTAAAACTAAAACCATTTATATAAATAAATTCAGTAATATAAAATTAGAAAGTTTAACTGTAACGTCCCAAAAATTATGAGGTAAAAATTCAAAAATTATGAGGTAAAAATTTCATTTTTAATTCAACCATAAAACACCACTTAGTATTTCCAAACATTCAAAAGTGTATTAATGTGAAAACGGTTATCAAAATCGTCGAAAGAGTATCA